GGGCGATTCTCGACGTTTTAAAAAAAAATTAGCCCGATATCTCAAAATTTACGGAAGTTAGAGCAACCACAAACATTCGAATGAGCGTACATACACACATACACACATACACACATACAGACATTTTGTAAAAATATATTTTTTTACGTTTTAAAACATTTTAAACATATTCCCAAAGAAAACTGGAAAAAAATTTTTTTCACGAAAACAAAGCTTCCTCTATGAGGAAGCAATACTTTGTTACAGTGTTTTGGAAAGCTCTCGAAGAATGCTGCATGAATGTGCAATAAAAAGTGGGATGTTCCATTTAAAAAATTGGATGTGACCTTCACGTGACCTTGACAACGCTAATTTAATAACATAACCCTGTATACATATAAATATCCATTGTTATATTTGGCGTAATTTGTTGATGATATCATTACTTTTGTAGAGAAGATAGTTTTGTAGAGAAGATTTTTGTAGAGACAATATTTTTGAAAAGGTATTTTTGGAAAGATATTTTTATAAAAATATTTTTTGTAAAGAAGATACTTTTGCAGGAAAGATATTTTTGTAAAGAAGATACTTTTGCAGGAAAGATATTTTTGTAGAGAAGATACTTTTGCAGAAGAGATAGAGTAACATTGGAGCTTATACTTGTATCATGTACAGTGATGGACAGAATGGTTGCGACACTTTTTAAAAATGAGTTTAGGAACTCGAGAAATAGATCGGAAACGCTCAAAATGATTTCGAAAGGGCCATCGAGTAAAATATTCCTTGGAGAAGAAGATTTTGAAATGTAACTCTGAATCTAAATGTATGTTTCTAAACTCATTAAAAAAGAAGTGTCGCAACCATTCTGTCCATCACTGTGCATGAAAAATATTCCTAACGACACAATATGGATATAGTGTATGAATATTCGAAGAATATCATGAACTTATAGAAGTACTATAGGGATATTGTCCGAACATTTGATACAAAATATTATATGCTTTTAGGGACTGATGACTAAAGTGTAGACATTTTTAAATTAAAATGGTATATTTTTTCAGATTGCCAGTATTGATATAAATAAAATTTCAAATTTTAATCGACCTCAGCTGGACACATTTATTGAATGAGCTTTCACAACATTTTGACCTTTGGTTTAGGTCCTTATCAAGTGAGATCTAGGAGTAAATGTTTTTCCTTATATGCTACTGGTTGGCGACTGCCATAGACAAGTGACTCAGCGGCCAGTGGGCAGAAACAATTTTATCAAACAGGAACACCATTATTATTTTTTCACAGTTTGTGTTATAATTATTGTCCTACAGATCTTAAGCTGCTGTATAGAATAGAGTAAGCAGTAAAATTTTTGATAATAGGTTTTACAAGTGCCATTTATTAACTACTAATTTCATGCTGTAAAATTAATATTTAACTTTGTGTGTTAGTGTAACGCCATCTTTTTATATGGTCTAAGCTGGACCACCGCATGTTTACTAAATTGGACCAGTTTAGAGACTGTTAGGAAAATTAATAATTTCTTTTAATTTCTACAATACAAGTGATATATTATTTTATGTGAAGAGGTAAAGAAAGAAGACACATGATCCAGTGTATATGGATTGTAGACCATGGGTTTATATTGGGCGTGCCAATAAGCCCAATGTAGGCAACCTTTCCCATATAAATATAAAAAACCATGTATATATATATATATAAATATCATATTCTCTTTAAGTATACAAAATACACATATAGTACCAATCAAATTATATTTTTATTACATCTTTATTACAAATTATATTCATAATAAAACGTTACATAAATCATAAAAAACACAGAGTTTCTAAATAGTCTTAATAATTAACGTTTTCTAATTTAGAGTAATTTAAATAATAAAGTGAAAGAAATGATTCCCTAAAAGTATTATAAATGAATGGATTCTTTCATTTTTTTAAATTAGCCATGGGCTTTCACTCAAATTTTCTTTAGCGGTCAGTTTTTATCACAATCAACAGTTATTGAGAAGCTTTCATTTATTTTCCTTTTCAAAATTTTAAAATTAAAACAAATAAAACTAAAATGAAGAAAGTAATGCTTAAAAGTAAAACAATTTCATATAGTTATGAAAAGAATAATTGAAAAAAAAGTAAAAAGATAAAAGCTGAAGATGAAAAAATTAATTTGAAAGTTAGAAAACTGTAGCCAATTATTAATATAAATCGTTTCTAAGAAAAGAGTCATCTTGTTTCTTGATGCTTATTTCCTTATACACTGCACATCGTCAAATACAGAATCGCTAGACCGCGAACAATACACTTGCATAATGCCGTGGTTATCCGATCTCCGGGAATGATAATAAGACTCGGGTGTCAGTTTAGCGTTAAGTATCGTTAATTACATCAACCAAAATGGTAATTTAGACGTATTAGGATGCGCCACCTCACAAAATTAAGGGTTCTCCTTCTATTTTACTTCCGTATATAAAAGTAAACGTATTTTGCATGCAATTTGCAAGAGTCAGACTTAGAGATTTATCAGGAGACCTTATCACTCTAAAAAGAGATTTCGAAAGCTCAACAAGATTAAAAGCAACGTATAAGAATGAAAGGCAGTGATACAATTTTTTTCATTTCGTTCGTGCTCATGGTGTATCTTCAAAATACAGAGTGTGTAAGTCTTTTAAAACCATAAAAAAAGTGTACACCAATGAATGAAAAAAATTAAAAGAAATCATTAAATTTGTTGATATCGAATATTGTATTTAATATTCAAATTGTTGAAAAAATATTAAATGTTTTTAATATTTAAAAAAATTGCGGATTGAGAAGTAAGAGATTAAAGGCTTAGTATAAACATTTACTTGTACATAAAATAAACATTTAATTTGTACATACACCTAGAAGATGCAAATATAAAAAAACATAATATTTTACTTACAGGTAAACCTGACTTTGTGTTTCTTTTAATAAAACTCATGTCAGTAGAATCTTAGAGTAGTTTTTAAAAAATAATAAACATGTATTTGTGTTAAATCGACAATGTTACCACTTTAAAGACATGAACTTCCCTTTACATATAAATCGTTGCATTTAAACTCTTGCGTTTAAAATATTATAGAATTTTATAATTTTTACATTGACAACAGCTCTATATAAGTTTAAATGCAACGATTTAATTATTTATGCTTATAAACACAAAGAGTAGTTTTCGTCCTTAAGGTTGCACCATTGTCGATATATAAAAATATGCGTATATTTTTGATGACTCTACAATTCTTCCGACTTTTATTAAAATCGACAATTACACAAAAATATTTGTTTACTTTTTAGTAAAAGAGTTAAAATATATTTTGATTGAACACTTCTTACATCTTCGATACTTAGCAATTAAAAATTATAAGATAATTAAGTATAAATAGAATCGCATATTTTTTACAATTATTTTGTAAAAGTAGATTTGTTGGTGTATTTGTTTTATAACTTATATACACGATTTATTTTAAAAGGTTTCAAGGTTTTTCCACTTATTCAATTATTTTTATTATCACAGAAAAAACTGAATTTCGAAGAAATAAAAGAGGCTCTATCACCGCTAAGGAAGCATTGTATTGACAGGGTGGGGACGGATCCAAGTATGTCAAAAACTGCAGACTCTTATGTGTATCACAAATTTATGTAATGTGTACAATCATATTTCATATTTATATGTAATAATTGTACAATTATGAGATAAAATCCTAATATGAGATAGCGGAATTTCTGTTAAATTAATAGGCATCATCAGTTGATTCCCATGAATTTATTGCCCTTGGAACGAAATCTGTTTAGTAGAAAATTCATTGTTAGCTTGTGTAATCGTTGCGAAAAAAGATTTGTGATTGAATTTGGATATTGAAAACCTTCTACCTCATATTAGAAACCTATCTCATAATATGGACTTCCTCTACTAATATGGGAGGTACGATTTGAGATATTTAAATTGAGGCCCCCTGGCGCCTGTTGGAGAAGTGAAAGGAGGCAATCTTTCCAATCTTCTTAAGGGGATGCTGGAGCGACGGGCCAACTCCGACGGAATAGCGCCCTCATCTGAACGGAATTAAAAAAATCGATAATGTCGGTAATTTCGATTATCGACATTTTTAATTCCTGCATTACCATTTCTACATTACCGCAGAGAAAGAATTTCGCGCCAATACTTTTTCGGCGATACTCGTACTAA